CGGGATCTCCTGATCTGACAATGACAGGATAAGGGCTGAACAGGCCTGAACAGAGGATAGGAAAATAGCTCCGGAGTGGGCACTAGCTAGGCGAATGCCAATACCACCTAAGCGAGGAGGGAGAGTGGCCTTAAGATGAGACCAAAGTGAGAGGGATCCACCTACTAAGTCATTAATGCAGTGGAACATAAATTCATCAAAGGAGTGTGTAACTGGGAGCAAGATCTCAGGTGGAGTGGTCCGGAGGGCACAGGAGACCTTTTGGAGGCCCAAGCAAGACTTGAGAAGGGAGTATTCAATTTGTGAGTCTTGGAGGAGGGCAAGGGATCGGACGGAATCCTTTACCTTGTCGAGACGCTTAGACATGGAGGCGCGGCAAAAGTCAGGGGGACCAATGGGAGAACCCAGAAGTTCAAATCCAAGGGAGGTGGATGGGATGTCAGAAGGTAAAGAGGAAAGGGAAGTGTCTACCTCTGGGGGATAAAAGAGAAGACACTTAGAGCGATTGAGGTGTAACCCACGGGGGAGACCCAAAGTTTCAATGATATGGAGAGCTGACAGGAGATCATCAGGAGAACCCGAAAGGATCCCATCATCCAAGTACCACCCATTGAGACAGAGGCCGGGAACATCTTGTTGGATCTTTTCAATGATTGGCTGGAGCAGGGTAGAGAAGGCAAGAGGACCTAGAGGGTCCCCCTGCTGGACCCCAGAGCAGCTAAGAATGGAAAAGTCCCCAAAGAGAAGATTAGATGGAGTACCATAGCTATATTCCAACCATCTAGATAAAGCAGGAAAGCGGGACCGAACCTCATGAAACAAAATAGAACGGTCGATGCAGTTAAACGCATTAGTGAAATCCAACAATAGACAGCAGCGAGAAGAACGGGGGACTGAGGGGTTGGAGAGGAGGAGCTTAACGGTGTGAACTAGTGACTCAGCTCCATTAGATACACCCACCCCCAGCTGATGGGGAGGAAGAGATTGCCGGACCTGTGGCATAATGAAAGAGGACAGACATTTAGACACTAGGCGGCGAAGGACTTCCCCTATGGCAATGGGCCGTAGACCACCAGACTTCTTGGGGGATGCGAGAAGTGTAGCACCACAAAGGTGGGGGACCAAGACAAGAGGACATTCACCGGAACTGAGGAGGTTGACCAGATGTGTGAGATGAAGGAGGGTTGCCTCAGCTCTGCAGGGGGAGGGACAGCATACAGCTTCCTTAAGATGAGACGCACGAAGGCCTGAGGGCCCAGGAGCAGTATCGGCTGGGAACGACTTGATAGAGGCGAGGACGGCAGCAGGGAGAAGAGAAGGAGCAGGGGGGAAGAAAGGGGAGGGGGGAGGAGAGGAAGAGGAAGAGGAGGGGGGAGGGGGAGGGGGAGGAGGAGGGGAAGAGGGAGGGGAAGGAGAGGAGGAGGGGGGAGAAGAGGAAAATAAATCAGGAGAGGAGGGAGGGGGGAGAGGAGAGGCAGGAGGGGAGGGAGAGAGGGCGGGGGGAGGAGCATCTGGCAGACAGGGAGCCGGGCATTGAGGGTGCTTGAGGAGTAGCTCATCACGCCTTTCGAGAGAGGGGGCGGCCAGACCACGGGAGTTAAGGGCCTGGAGGGCTTTCCGGTAAAGACCAGACGCAGCTGCCCGACGAGCTCTGCGAACACCAGGAGGGACCGAAGTGTTGGAGGGAGGGGTGGGAGATCTCGAGGAGACTTCAGACCAGAGAGACATGTGGTCACCATTTCTCCAGGTGGACAAACGCTGCTTGATGATGTCAACAAGATCTTTCGAATGACGGCGAGATCTAGCAGGAGGGAGGAAGAGAGCGCACTTGGGGAGCATGAACAGCTTTGTCCAAGCAACTAGGTCAGAGGGACGAGCGATAATGGACTCCAGGGTAGACGACAAGACTCCCGACCAACTATTCCGAGCGCCTTTGGGAATATGGAGGAGCAGGGGCACGTTGAGACGACAGATGGCCTCGAAGGAAGGTAGAGCGCTAGCAGACGAGATCACTGAGTCAGAACTAGGAACTGAAACATCGATAGAACTAGAAGAGCCAGATAAAGGACCACGTGGCGAAGGAGAGGCGCTGCGCTGAGGGGCTGAAGGTACCCCAAAAGGATTATGACAGGACGAAGAACTTCCAGGGCGGCAGGAAGAGCAAGGTAGTTCACTCTTAACACAGGAGCAAGACTTACAGACAGCGTTGGGCCCATTACAAGCACAACACCTGCTACCCGCCATTTTTATTATTATTATTATTATTATTATTATTATTATTATTATTATTATTATTATTATTATTATTATTGTTATTATTATTATTATTTGGTATGTAATTGTTTGTGGTTAGAAACTTTATTGAGGCTCAGCAGACCCTGGCTGATAGTTCTGAGAAGAAAGATGATCGACTGGAGCCACTGGATAAATCAATAGTGGCTTCGAGCAGTGATCCTGAAAGTAACCAGTGGAGGGATGTTGGACTTAAATTAATCAATGATGGAATGGTTGGTGTTTTATTACTAGCAGGTGGGTTGTTGTTGTTATTATTATCATCATCTTATTCATTAAAAGGTGGGCAGGGAACTAGACTAGGTGTATCCTATCCTAAAGGAATGTACAATGTGCAGCTACCATCTAATAAAACACTTTATCAATTGCAGGCCGAAAGAATATTGAAATTACAAGAGCTAGCTAAAAATAAATATGGAAAGGAGGACACTATTGTCACATGGTAAGAATAGTCTCTTTATGATGTGAAAGTGTTGATAGTAGTGTACTGATATAGTAGCCATTATCATCATTATATAGTACTGGGTAGTACTTTGAAGGAATTTCATGTAATGTAGGTACATCATGACCAGTGAGTACACACGGGACACTACAATAAAGTTTTTCAATGACCACAAATACTTTGGACTGGACAAAAGGAATGTTGTCATATTTGAGCAGAATACTCTTCCTTGTGTTGATTTCAATGGAAGGATACTTCTAGACAAGAAGAACTCCATTGCACGTGCTCCTGATGGAAATGGCGGACTCTATGCTGCTCTTGTTAATAAAAATAACAATGTACTCAAGGTATCAATTATTATTATTATTATTATTATTATTATTATTATTATTATTATTATTGTTGTTGTTGTAATAATAGGATATGAATTCTCGTGGTATTAAGTGTATCCATGTCTATGGTGTTGATAATATTTTAGTTAAAATGGCTGATCCTGTTTTTGTTGGATATTGCTGGAGCAGAGATTCTGATTGTGGAGCTAAAGTAGTTTATTTCTTAACTTTATCATTAATTTGTACTCCTTAATGAAGGTGGTTAGAAAATCAAGTCCTGGTGAAAAAGTGGGTGTGGTTTGTCTTTTAGACGGAAAATATCAGGTTCGATTAATAATAAATAATAATACACAATATTAATTAATTAATAGGTGGTTGAGTATAGTGAAATCAGTCAGTCAACAGCTGAAATGTGTAATCCTGATGGCTCATTAACCTTTAGTGCTGGGAATATCTGTAACCATTACTTTACTGTCTCTTTTCTCGAGAGGGTTTGTTCTGATCACAAAGATCAGCTCGTTCATCACATTGCAAAGAAGAAGATACCTTACATTGATGATACAGGAATGAGGTAAGTGTTATTAACAGTTATTAATAGTTATTATTATTATCAGGGTGGAGCCTACATCACCTAACGGTATTAAAATGGAAAAATTTGTATTTGATGTTTTTCAATTTTCAGAGTATGTACATAATAATGATAATAATCATTGTTATTATAATAATGATAGAAAATTCTCTGTATTCGAGGTAGTGCGTGATGAAGAGTTTGCCCCATTAAAGAATGGACTCGATTCCCCAACTGATTCTCCTGTTACTGTTAGACAAGCCTTGATGAACCTTCATTATAAGTACATACAGAGGGCAGGTGGAACCATTACTAGTGACACTCCAGTCCAGTAAGAACCAATAGCAATGACAATGTATTGAGTATTATTATTAGGGTCAATGGTACTAATGGTATCATATGTGAGATATCACCACTGGTCTCTTATGCTGGGGAAGTATGTATTCTTAATTAATTATTTAATTGATTGATTTGTAGGGCCTTCAGGAACTGTGTAGTGGTAATACATTCAAAGTGCCTCTTCATTTGACAGATTAATACTTTTTAAATTATTATTATTATTATTATTATTTATAAGAATAATTGAGAGTCAGGAATTATATGCTACACAGCCAATACTTGTGCCGTGGATTAGGGCTGCCACAGCATCAATCAGTCCTGATACAATTATGGAATCAACTGGATCACTGGATAAATCAAAAATCATACCACAGACCTGATTCTCTTGTTGTATGATCCAGTATACTACTAGGATACTAAGGATACTAGTATCTCAGCTGAGTCAACATGGCATCCAAGGAGAATGTAGTGATAATAGGTGGTGGCCTGTCTGGATTGGCTGCTGCTAGTAAACTGGTCAGAGAGGGGAAGGAGCTGTTCACTGTGTCCTTACTGGAGGCTAATGATAGACTAGGAGGAAGAATACAGTCTATAGTTCTACCAGACGGGACAATAGTACCAGCGGGAGCCACTTACTTCCATGGGACTGAAGGTAACTCAGTTTATGAGTACTACACCAGTCAAGTAAGGACTGGAGGGATGGATCTTATCAATGAAGAAGATATGGAGGGACTTTATGTATCCAGCAACGGGCAGCAGCTTCCCCCGGGTCTAGTGGAGGAAGTTGAAACATGTTACGAGAAGTGTGTTGATAAGGAGGCCCTCCTCTCCTGGTCGCTGAGTAACGGAAGGAACAGGAGCATGAGGGAATACCTAGAGGACCGACTCTATCCAATGATAGAGGGAGTGGTTAGGGAGGCTAGTGCTGATGCTGATCCTTATAGAATACTGGAGTGTTTCCTGTCAGCTGAAGGAATCAGTGAAGGCTCTAAGTATGTACGTGACATCAGTATCGAGTCTTACATTAACTGGGAGTGGTTGGAAGGAGGGAAGAGTGTCTTTACTGACAGTAATCCGTTTCAATCGGTCGTCAAGTCACTAGAGAAATCACTGCCAAATGATGCAGTACATCTCAACTGTAAAGTGGAACGCATCAGCTGGAACAATAAAGACATTATCGTATCTTGTACTAATGGAAGGAGTTTCACTGCAAAGCATGTCATCATTACAGTTTCCCTTGGAGTTCTAAAGGAGCTAGTTCATGACTCATTCTTTGACCCACCATTGCCGCTCGACAAGGTAAAGGCTGTCAATTGTCTTGGATATGGTCTTGTTAATAAAATAATTCTTCAATTCGAGAGTCCTCTGTTTGAAGACAAGTACTTCATTCTACGTTTATGTTGGTCTGAAAGAGACAAGGAGAGAGATGTAGTTAAATTGAATCCGTGGTTGGCTGGACTCCATCAAATAGAACATTATCCAACTCCATCATCACACGTGTATGTGGGTTGGGTTTCAGATGAAGATGCATTAGCAGTTGAGAAATTACCGAGTGGAGCTTTAAAGAATACTCTGATCTTAGTTCTCAAGTTGTTCCTTGGGAACTCCATTCCCAGTCTATTGAATGTTGTATCCACCAGTTGGTCCAATGAATACACTTGTGGCAGTTATTCTTATACTCCAGTATCATGCCCAGCCTCTCTAAGAGAAGAGTTGTCTTCTCCAGCTGACCCCAATCTCAAGTTATTGTTTGCTGGAGAAGCAACTTGTACCAGGCAATATTCGTGTGCTCACCCTGCTTACGATACTGGCTTAAGAGAAGCTGAGAGATTATTAAAACATTATAATAATAACTGTAACAAGTTTTAATTTTTAGTTTTAATTTTTATTATAATTTTAATTATTTAGTGTAAATCACTCCAATTTGCTTCATCACTTCATCGGCCACTTGAGCAACTACCAGTGATTGGTCTAACGGCATGATGCTGCTCTCTATTGCCTTTCTCTTTAAACAGGATCGAACCTCTTCAGCTTCATATCTTAGACCAGCTGAATTTGGATAATTTGTATGAGGAAGAGGAGGCAAAGGGAATTCTAGTGACACCTTTTGGAAATCATAGACACCTTTAGGACTCTCGAGTGACGTTGGACACCAGAAGGGGTGTGGTAATTTCAGATCTCCCTCTGTTCCTCCAATGTGTGCTTCACATTCGAAATTGTAAGAAATACTGCAAGAGAGGGAAGCAATGCCACCTCCAGGATAGGTGAGAGTGATGACAGCTAAATCATCAACACCAGTATCAAGGAGTGTACCCTCTGCATGCACTTTGACTGGCTTACTACCTCCAAACAGCATGGTGGCTAAACTGATGGCATACACACCTACATCTAATACACTACCTCCTCCTAAAGTAGGATCAACCAAACGACCTTTCTCTCTTTCCACTGGACGTCTGAAAGAAAAATTGACTCGGACAAATTTGACTTTTCCTATTTCCCCACGAGATACTTTATCCATCAATGCGACACAGGCTGGAAAGAACCTCATCCAAGTTGCCTCCATCAGAAACAATCCCTTCTCCCTTGCTTTGTTGATAAGTTGTGAGGTCTGTATTGCATTAAGGCTCATTGGTTTCTCACACAGAACAGGTTTACCAGCCTCCAGGGCCATCAGTCCTATTGAGAGATGAGTGGGATGTATTGTGCCAATGTACACAACATCAATCTCTTTATCTTTGAGCAAATCTTCATAGCTACCATAATGGGCAGGTATAGAATGCTTGCTGGCAAATTCTGCAGCAACTTCTGTGGACCTTGAGGCTACAGCAACAACTTCATGATCTGATTCAGGTAGAGTTCTAATGGCTGACACAAAATCACTGCTAATGAGACCAGCTCCAATCACACCCCAACGAGTAGCCATTGCAATTTTTTTTGCTGCAGATGGGAGGAGCTCAGAGTTAATTAACCCCACCTTCCTTCCATTATTAGATAGATAGGATACAGGTATAAGCTCGGGTATAAGCTCGGGTATAAGCTGCAGCCAAACTGCAGTCTGCATTTGGCAACTTTATCCGGCATGGCACTGATGGCAGAAGAATGGTCTGAGGTGTAGGAGAAATGTCTTCAGTTAGTCCTGTGTATTCTGATAAGGAGATCTATAGATACATAGATCTTGGACTGGGACGAGGTGTAGATGCTACTGATCCTACTCCTTGGTTGAATAAAACCTCTTTTCAAGTCAGGCAGGTAACCATTGATAATATCATTGGAACAGATGAAGGAGGGACGCTGCAAAAGTTTGAAAAGGAAGTTTCCAGCGTCCGCAAGCAACAAATGAAAATGAAAGCATCTGTTGTTGTACCAAAGAGTCCAGTTACGATATCAACTGAAGCAGAGTACAGCAGGAGTGCCCATTCGAACAGAAGGTGCGTTGGGAAAAAAGTTGTGAATCGAACAATATCCTTTTCTGAACACTTTAATGACGTACCACTTGAGAGCGACGGCTCAAAGGAACTCCAGAAAGAAGCTCAGCAGAAGTACATGACTTTTGAAGAACGTCTTGCAGAATGGATCCTCAATAAATTGAGAATAGAATGGGGAGAGACTTCAGTTCAACAAGAACATGTTGGTCCCAGTCGTCCTCTCCAAGAGCTAACAAAAGTAATTGAAAAAGGAGATGAAAAGGACATGAAATTGATTGCCAGGTCATGCGAAAGGTTCGTGGAGTATTTTCACATCACTCATTACGTCAATTCCATTCAACTGGGAGCAGTTGAGTATCAAGTAATGACACAGGGAGAGTACAACACAGCTGCTAGCATTACCAGTAAAACAGGTGTAGACCATGTCGGAAGTGCCTCGACTCAAGCCAGCTACAGCAGCAAGAAGAAGGAATCATCAAAGCAAGCAAAATATGTCGGATTCATTAATAAGGAAAACAAAGTGGAGAAGGGATCCAGTGATGAAGCAGTCGTTGACGTATCGATCAAACCAATATCCACACTAATAGCATCGTCTTTCCTTCATGCTTGCATGGAAGCTGGACTGAGGAGGTACATGGACGTACAGAGAGACAAAAGTGGTACGGTACATGCCAAATAATACTTTATTGTCTGCCAGCCAGTAGTAACATTTTGGCAATATTTATTTATTTATTTATGATTCCTTTAGATGGACCGTTTTTGATTTCCTGTGGAATTAAGCAAACACTCTATCTTACGGTTGATGACGATCGTCATGTTTTGCTAGCAACTAGTGACATCAATAATGCTTCTGAGTTTAGTATCATCCCAAATGATGATAAAATGGGAATAAATGAATTCTACATTGTCTATATCAGGAAAAGAGATGAGCCTCAAGTTAAAGATTCGAGAGGAAGAAGATATTCTGTTCTTGCTGACTCTGGTGATGATGATGAGTCTCAGGATTCGACTGCACTCTACGTGGATGCACCGTTGAGTGTAGTCTGGGGAGAGAATCCTGGCCCTCTCTTCATTCGTGATGCTGTTTCACAAAAAACCAGTCGGTTTGCATTAAACGAGAGATTGCTCTCGGACAAAGGGACGGAGCCTGTACCTCTCGAGTCATGGACAAGCGGAAAGGAAATGTATTACATCACTTGCTCCAGGAGAGCTTTTCGCCGGAATGGGTACCTTGCCGTTAAGAGACACCCTAGAGGTCATGAATATATCACGTGCTGCATTCCTGATATCTTTAGTCATGATAACGATTCCGTATTCATGTTGTTTCGATTAATTCCAAGACAACAGGAATCCATATCTGATAAAGATCAAGAGGTCTCTGATCAGCCATTCCTCCCAGGAGAAACTCTAAAATAACAAAATGGAATTTGTGTTATTCGTACTCATTATTAGCTAGTGCTTTTGATCACATACATGTACATGTACTACTAACAATAATTAGCTCAATAATGTTTTCATTAGCTCCGGAAGCCCTGCCCAGCACTCTAGCTTCCTATCCTGTCAGTCAATAGTGTAGTATGGATAGAAGAAGCAGCGATACTGTTGCTCGTAATCCTAACCGTGACCAACTCACAGGAGAGAGTAGGAACTCATGGAGGAGATCTTTTGATACAGAAAGTGAAGCTAGTGGCCATGCATCTCGTGAAGGGAGAGAATTAGTAGATCAGCCCCAACAAAATCCCTCATCTTCAGAATATCAATCGGTAAGCATCAATACAGTGCTACTGCTCCACGATGTATTGTTATACACTAGCCTCTGGTGTTTGTTGAGAGTCTAGTAGTTAGACCTGACCTGACTTTCAAGATACTGATAGTTGGGAATCCTTACGTTGGGAAATCTTGTTTTCTGATGAGATTGTGTACTGGAACTTTTACAGCAAGATATGCATCAACCATTGGTGAGTAAACATTGTCTTTGTTGTGATTGCTGTCAAGGGAATGCTGAAAGGGAAGACTAAGCATAACAATTAACGTTTCCTTTATAAATGAAGACAGACAAGTCATAAACAGTTATGTATATTGTCATGCAGGAGTTGACTTTTACAGTCGTTTGATAAAACACGAGGATCAAATCATATCATTACAACTGTGGGACACAGCAGGACAGGAAAGGTTCCTCATTGATATCTATAATTATTAATTATCATAACTTCATTCTATAGATTTCAGTCAGTAACCCGTGCCTATTACCGTGGTGCTCATGGAGTTATTCTGATGTATGATGTAACTTCAGAGGATTCATTTGTTGCCGTTAAATCATGGATTAATTCCATCAGAGTACATTATTACTTGATGGGAGCTCCTTAAATTATTTTGTATTCTTAGGAAAATATGCAAGGGTTACCTCCAGCTTTACTCTTAGTTGGCAACAAAGTTGATTTGGATGACTACAGTAAAAGAGAAGTACCTTTTGATACAGGAGAAACATTTGCTAAAGTATAGTACACTCTTTATTTATGTGTAGTAAAGAATGGCTTTGCTATAGATCTATAAAGCTAATTTCATTGAAACGAGTGCCAAAACTGGCTTTAATGTTGGCCATGCTTGCTTGTCACTTGTAAAGTAAGCAGAGTAATCATCATCATCATCATCATTATCATTGTAGTTTATTGGTTGAAGACTGCAATGATCAAACAATTTCATCTCAAGGAGGCTACTCTCCACTCCCCAAGAAACAGAAATCATGTTGTTCACATTAATTCATTTTTAATTCATTATTAAAACATAATCGAGTGGGAAGTATGGGTGTGGTTTTAAAATGGATTCAGCGAGTGAGATTGAGGGCCTCACTAAAGGTGATTATTTTCCATTTTAAAATTAATTGTTAGTACAGGATCATTAGCTGTCAAGGATGCAGTTGCTGCTGCACATAAAGAGATGGAGCTGTCATCAGTCGAGGAATACACCACAACTGGAAATACTCTAAAGAATCTATTTTTATTTCGACATTATGCCAACTGTTACAAGTTAGTGAGATGGTCTGTCTTTTGGTTAGTTCATGTTATTAGTAGGAGGTTTGGAGTTGAGGACAGAGAAGGATTGAGGAAGCTGATACACGAAAGCAAAGATGACTTAGTGTTACAAGAAAAGCACCAACGTCTTGAAGAAGTAGAATCTGAGCACTCTTCACTTATTGATAAGGTTAAAATACTTGATAGATGTACTGGTATAGAATGCTTTAGCTGATTCTATAAGTTGCCCTCCCAATGGTCTTTGACCAAATTTGTTACATTTCCTGATACACATAATCATCATCATAATCATGATTGTCATTATTATTATTATTATTACAGATCAATGATGAAATGTCGTCAGTTTATTTGAGTGCGTCTGTTCCACCTGGTCACGTGGTACAGCAGGAAATTATGTTGTTTAGCTGTAAAGACAATAGTTATATTGATATCAGCTCATTATTAAAGGTATCTTACTAAATATTGTATTGTAATGATGTTGGCATAGGGACACCTGTTCACGTTATTCATATTAATAAGACACTTTGGATGACTGGGATGACTGGATCATATCAGTGACGTTCACAAAAGGATGGATGAGTTCAGTGAAGCATCGTGTAATGTTGTAGCTATAGCTACTGGTAATAGGGAGAATGCTTTTACTTGGATTAAAAAGTAAAAGAATAATTCATTATTAATTTTTATTGTTAATGAATTGATTGCAGACACAATGTCCCTGTACCATTGTTCATTGATGATGAAAAGTTTCTTTACAATTGTTTTGGTCTTGGTAGACGATGCACTCTGCTTGGGCTACACATGATTGATCGCTATGCTACTAAAGTAATAAAAAATGATCCAATACCACCTGCTTATAGTGGAGACGACTTGTTCTTGATGGGAGGAGATTTCATTTTGAATGAAAGAAGAGAAGTTGTCTATCAATTTGCTACTGAAGAGAATGAGAGGCCAACAATTGATGAATTGTTATCATCAATTAATAATTAAATAACAAATATTAACTGCTAAAACATTTCGTGAAGGATTGTCTGTAAACCAATTAAAGGACAGACGATTCTGATGTTTTGTAATGTTCTAGTTTTTAATAAACTGTTGCTGTATAGTTAAAAGCAGAGATATGAAGAAGGCAAACATTTCTGTCTATGGAAAATAACTGGGCATATTAAAAAATTGACACGTAGAAAATTCCTCAATTTTATTACATTTCCTGATGCATATACATGTACTTATGCTGTGTAGAGAGATTGAGCTAATTCCGATCAAGTTTGGATTTTCTATGATTTTTTTAAGTTGCTCAAAAATTGGACAAAAGTCCCTGTACTATAGTACAGGGATTTTTCAAAAAATTTCACAAAAAATTGACACGTAGCAAATTCCTCAATTTTATTACATTTCCTGATGCATATACATTTACTTATGCTGTGTAGAGAGATTGAGCTGATTCCGATCAAGTTTGGATTTTCTATGATTTTTTAAATTTGCTCAAAAATCGGACAAAAGTCCCTGTACTATAGTACAGGGATTTTTCAAAAATTTCACAAAAAATTGACAAGTAGAAAATTCCTCAATTTTATTGCATTTCCTGATGCATATACATGTACTTATGCAGTGTAAAAAGATTGAGCTGATTCCGATCAATTTTGGATTTTCTATGATTTTTTTAAAGTTGCTCAAAAATTGGACAAAAGTCCCTGTACTATAGTACAGGAATTTTTGTAAAATTTCACAAAAATTGACAAAAAAAAATTCTTCAATTTTATTACATTTCCTGATGCATATACATTTACTTATGCTGTGTAGAGAGATTGAGCTGATTCCGATCAAGTTTGGATTTTCTATGATTTTTTAAATTTGCTCAAAAATCGGACAAAAGTCCCTGTACTATAGTACAGGGATTTTTCAAAAATTTCACAAAAAATTGACACGTAGCAAATTCCTCAATTTTATTACATTTCCTGATGCATATACATGTACTTATGCTGTGTATAGAGATTGAGCAGATTCCGATCAAGTTTGGATTTTCTATGATTTTTTAAAGTTGCTCAAAAATCAGACCAAAGTCCCTGTACTACAGTACAGGGATTTTTGTAAGATTTAAAAAAAATTGACACATAGAAAATTCCTCAATTTTATTACATTCTGATGCATATACATATATATATGCTGCTTAAAAAGATTGAGCTGATTCCGATCAAGTTTGGATTTTCTATAATTTTTTAAAGTTGCTCCAAAATCGGACAAATGTCCCTGTACTATAGTACAGGGATTTTGTGTATGATCAGCCACAAATTTTAACTAGCCATTTACCTAATTCTGTTACTGTATCAATTGCTCCTATAGTATCAGGTCACAGAACATGGTAGAGTATCAGGAGATGATAAGATGTTGAGTGAGATCTATG